TCGTGGAAGAAATGGATCGCGTCGACCGCTGGAAGGCTTCATCTGTTTCGCTCTTCGAGGAATTCTGGAGGACAGATGAGGTTAGCATGGGATTGCTTATGACAGACGACGACAGACTTTGTGTGTTCAACGCATTGAAGCGTACCGCTGAATTTGGTCATTCTTCAAAATGGCGCCTAAGCCATTTTCGACTATAGCAGATTCTGGCTTCCGTTGTAAGCTACTGTGTCCGTCGCAGACATCTATCCCTGCAATAGTAGAAGGATCTATCTTTCCTTGCGCTCTTATGATGGAATATCCTTCTTACCCGAAACAGCCATACATTCCAACATTCTCAAACTCAATCGATCTAGCGACCAACCACATTAAAATCCTCTCCAACCGACGCCGGCACCCTTTCAGCACTCATTCCAAGTTCCAAAACCACAGCCCAATTCATACCAACTATCATCTACACATGAATCTATCAAACTCAACTCTGTCTCTCAGCGTGATGAGGACAGTTCATTCTCCTGTTCTCAGCTTCCGCGCTGGCTGGGGGAGGGGGGGGGGGGGGCTTGGTGATCTACCTCCTTGGTCGACAATCAATCGTTTCGGCAAATGACCTACAGAGCTTCTCCGAGCCAATATTAGATATAAACGAGGCGCCTCGTGACAATGGCAGACTTCTAGTGACAAAAATGCCCCCGCCTGATAATACGTATCCCTTAGTAGAAGAAGAAGCGATCGCAGTCTTACACAGGTGGACTAAGGAGCACGAATTCAACGTGACTAAGTGACAAGTATTTCGTACTGACTCGTCACGCAGAAAAGTTTGGAAGCGTGGTTACGACTGCAACTGCGCTGGAAAACACAAGCACGCGCAACACAGCGTAAACACCCGTTGCGCGGCTCTTTGCGTTCTGGTTGTCCGATGAAAATCAAAGTGCAGGCTGTATCGAAAGAGGATCATGGAGAATAGGTCACACACGCAACGGAAGCCAGCTCCACAATCAACCTCCGGGAGAGGACGCAAAGATTCACCTAGGACATCTACGACACGCAGCTGCTGCTAGCAAAAATAGCGCTTGCATGTTCTCTCGTATAAATGATAACGGCGCAGATGGCTGTAGGTATCCGTGTAGGGATTTTTCGGGCCATTTTTTTTTAGCAAGCAGACCCTATCTCCTTGGCTATCCCAAAAGACACCGCCAACGTGCAAACCGCAGCGAGACGCCGTAAACTATCGACTAAATAGCGATGGAGATACTGTTTTCTCGTTTGGAATCGGATGGTTCTATTAACGCTGGGAAGTAGACAAGAGCACACAACAACTTTTGATCTATTCTGGGCTCACTCGGGCACGTTGTACCGGCGCCACCCAGGGATCCTCGCAATGGACTGCACGTACAAGGCCAACAAGTACAAGCTCCCTCTATCCAATATAATTTCTCTAACTGAATTCAAAACGGTGCTTCAACTTACTCAGTATTGGTTACCAAGGGAGCGGGAGGAAGACTATCTGTGGGCTATGGCAACACTTAGGCAATTTTTCTTGATGTAAATGTCGGATTCCCAAGCGTAATCCCTACAGAGAGATTTAGCCTCGACGAGCGTGATCGGTTCAGTGTTTCACGGTGTTCCAACTTTGATATGCAGGTTTCATATGGACGAAAACGCCATCAGCAAAGTTTGACAAGTTCTTGGGCAAGTCTCTGTTGGAAACCCTGCGCCAGGGCAGCCTAAGTTTGAGAATATTCGGCAGACAGACGCGTTCATGGAATCCTTCTACGCTAAAGTCACTGCATAGATATTGATTATCAGCGAAAAGAATTAGTGAAACCGAACCCGGTGTTGAGCTCATAGCTGGGTAACACTGGTGGAAGCTCAAGGCCCGTTTTGTATGGGCATGGACCGATTGATATCAACATCTCGGGTTTTGTGGTACTTCCCTTGTAAGGGGCCCGCATCCGAAGTGAAAGATTTGGTCACGTGGGTCCGAGGCGATTTGTACACTGTGTACCTGAGCATACTACTACTACGGTGGAACGCTGCTGAATCGTCACCGCGGCTGCTAGCTCAGAGGAACGCTGCCAGTGTACCCTTGTTACTTCAGAGTAATGTTTCTGCAGCGAGACAGGTTATCACGGTTGCGCTCTAACTCTAACCACACATTGTGGGAAGACACCCATCGTATCGTACTCTATAGCTTATATCGTGACCAATACAAGGGTATATTTAGAATGCCAACGGGTGCCCATATATACACGAGCTTACTCAAATTACCGGATTCAAATACAATTTCGACCCCACCATTTCAACCTTCACTGGTGGATGAACTGTGACCAAGTGCGATCAGAGCAGTATGGATTTAATGCAACCAGAAAAACGGTCCTGCATCCGAACGAATGTCCTGCACTATAGGACAACATGCAGGACCGATTAATGACTTGCAGGACATTTTTTCGGGCGAATTATGGGTATATTATCCAAAACGGGCAGGTCGGCATTTGGGGAATATCCAATAGTTAAAGTTGTAGGATGCTTTTGCTCATTAACAGTATGCATCATGCGGTAAAAATTATTTCAATCTACTTACGCTGAGTAGTCGGGCGTTTTCGTACAGATACCTTTTTCGAGATAATTTTCTTTTTTCTTGTCGTTTTACCTTGGTTTTGCTGACTTTTCCTACGATTAGCAACAGGTATAATAAAGTCATATTACGCTGCTGGACTCGTTAATGTCACATTATCGGAATGAGCGGGAGCACAACGTTTTTCCATTGATATGTCATCACACATTTGCAAATATTTTGCAGCCTCCAGTTTCAATTTGGTGACGAATACAAGAATTTCGGGATGGGCATCTCCAATGTGACGCTTAATGGCGCAGTTATAACTTTCAACCGGATTGTTTGTTCGGTTCTGCAAATTCATCTCACTAGCGACATAAGCATTGAAATTCCAAGCTCTGGGTCAACCAAATTTGAGAAAAATAATGTCAAAAGGATTCCCATTCAGTGCGATAGCCATGTGACGTTATTAATGACGTGACAAAAGGAGTTTTCTTTTTACTAAATCTCGTCAATGGGTATCACAGTAAGAGAATCCACAACACCGGGCGTCATTGCCTGCTTGATTTGTTCCGCTGGAATTCGAAGATCTACCAGCTTGCGACGAATAGCTTGTTTCCAGTGAAATAAACAGCCAATTACTCGTGTTCCCTTGAAATGATCACGTATTGCGTTGATAAGTGCGGTTTCGAAGTCACATGTGACACTTCCAGGAAGCAATTTCATTCCAGTCAACATCTTGATATGATGAAGTACTGTTGTGCATGTCATTTCATCCTTGTCTTCCAGGAGAATGTGGAGTACCGGATGATACACGTCAAACTTTGAGTCGTGTCTCATCACTATTAGTGTTTGTTTAGAGGGGCTGGTGTGATGCTATAAGTAGCGTCAGCGAATAGCGAGACGCCTCGAATCTTGAGAAGACGGATGAGGTCAGGATGACCCAACCCGACGATTTGCTGAGCTTTGCTATTATTGTTGTGAATTGGAGAAAGAGTCGATCATCCAAATCTGAGATGTTAGCATAGGGTGACGTTTCGATTTGTCGGAACACGTCACCACCGTTGGCCTGTCTGAGAACGTAGTCAATAAAATTAATAGCTTCGTCACGTGGCATGACTGTCACGATTTGATCCGGATGCATCTTCGTCATCTGAAGAGAGAGTCCTTCCCAAGTCGACTTGGGAGCGTTGTCTTCGCTACTAGCGCTTCTGTTTCGATGAGACCCTTCATTTAGTCTGTACAGCTGATAACGTTGGGTTTTGCGGACACTTGACTCGTATGCGAAGCCGTCACTTTTGCATGACCGCTGGTGACGACGCGAGCACTCCGCGGATTTGTTGGGTCGCCAAAGGCGACGACTCGTTGCCCAGTTTGAACTTGATCAATGTATACTCGAGTATTCGACTGCGAGGAAAGACATGCAATTTGCTCAGTCAGGTGGCATGATTATTGTCCCTCCCCAGTGGGCGTTGCGCCGGCTTAACGTACCTACCGCCCTGTGGTCACGGCTTGGGCGATCGTGGCTCCGCCGTCTGCAATGTCGCTGTGGGATGGCGACGGCCCTACGTCGAGGACGGTGCAGTCGATTTAGCCTTTGTTTCGAATAAGATCAAGTGTCGGCGCGGTCTCACCCGCACGTACTTGTACTGTGACGGGTACTACATCGATGAGTCTAGCTTCTTTTTTTACAGTAAGGTACCACGTGGACGCTCTGCATTAACGAGGTACCTGTGTTAAAGCAAGGTTAAACTTGGTTATGTGCTCCAACGCTACGGAGACCGATAATTTGCCTCTCCGGTAGGTTGACAAGTCTTTTAAACCACGCTAGATTGATAAAAACCCGGCCGATGTGCTATATGCGTTGACAGGGCAAGGGTGACATCAGTCAGTTTCAAAGCTGACTGCGCGACATAGATGGGACGATGAGGGCTCTGCGACGGCAAATTCTTATTCTCGTGGACAATGCTTCCTCTCACTGCTTTGAGGGAGTAACCTTGACAAATGTGCGCGTTGAGAAACTATCTGCAAATACAAACTTCTAAGTTGCAGCCGTTCGGCCAGGGATAATTTATTGTGTGAACGTGATTTGCTCCGGAAAAAGATGGAGTTTGCAATGACAGCGCCTGACGAAGGAGCAGTAATTCCTGTAGAGTCGCGCCTTGAAAGCAATTGAGTGATGCGCGGACGCATGGCGCGAAATTCCTGCCGCGACTATTGTTCGCTAAGGAGGCGCATTACGGTACATGCATTTGACATCATCTCAGTATGTTGACATTGTTACGAATCGCACCGTATCCACTTTGTCACCCAAAAAAGGCACAGGATCAGTGTAACTTCTGCAAAAAGGGCGAAAAAAAATGCTCTTTTAGAGACTGATTCTTACTCTTCTTTAAACGAATCTCTAGAAGAGCGAATATTACGCCCATTTGCCACGGAAAGGTTCAGGACAACTTCAGTCACTTCTGTGGGCTGGTACTCGGCGACGCCCCAAAAAGTGCAGTAGCAGCAAAGGCAGTACTGTGGTGGCACATGCGGTATTTTGTATCTCCGACATGGATTAACGACAACGCCACTGTGGTGAAGCGCCAGTTGGCTTTTACGAATAAGAAAACTGATTGATGGGAAGTGACCCGATCCAGCCCTGAGACTCATGGTCGACGACGGTGCGTCAGTGATTACGTCA